ACTTGGCTGCTGCCGACTGCCCAGCCTGGTTCCAGGGCACACGTCAGATGCCCAGTGTGGCCTGGCATCCCTGCGCCTGTGTCAGTCTTTTCAGCTGGCCTGGAGTCACCAGGCATCAGAGCAGAAGGCCCCGCCCTCCCGCTCTCGCCCGCTTCCTTCCAAGTGCAGTGCTTGGGGGAGAGGCAGCAGCAGCCAGCCTGGACGTGGGGAAACGGAGGAGAGATGGAGGGGGAGGGTCGTTCTCCAGACCTCAGGCTGGGGCCTCGGGACACAAGTGAGTAGCCAAGTGGAAGGAATTCCCTTCTTCTTTCCTGGGCTGGCGGGAGTTGATCTCGCTCCCTCATTCGCTAAGTCCCAGGGGAACAGTTGCTGGGTGTAAGTAGCATACCAAGAGGTAGACAGAACCGAAGGAGGGGACCCACTTGAAACATCTGAAAATTAGAGACATCGTTCATATTGCTTTGAAAAGAAGGCAGGATTTTCCCACATGAGGGCAGAAACCTGTATCTAAATGGAAGAGCAATCCTGTTAGCAGAGGCTGTTCCTCTGTTAGAGCAGGGATGTCAGAAACAGCTTCCAGATCTAGTGATGGAAGGTCTGTTTAACCAATCTAAATCCAACGTCTATGGTCAATGGTACACACCTCAGGGGAAAGGGAATAGGGATCGGCACAAGCTGCCCCTTGGCATTGTTCAAGGGCGATCATCAGAGGAAAGAGCAGGTGCAGAACCTGCCAGTGTTTAGAGTTTTATATTCTTCACGAACAAATTCACGCATATGTACATTTGAAAAGTCGGGAAGAATACAAACCAAGTTGTTAACAGAAATTACCTCTGGGAAGGAGATTGCATAATGAGAGAGGGACATTTTATTTTCTGTCTTATATTTCTGTATATTGTTTACATTTTTTTGCAAGTGCAGATTGCATCTACAATTTTTCAAAAGATGTTTTTCATTCGGAGAAAATAAAAGCATCCTGACTGCAGAAGCATCAAGTGAGGGACTCCGCTGGAAGTGGGGCTACTGCCCAAGCAACCACAGAAAGCGGAGGGACATCCTGGAGGCTCTGGGGGGAGGGAACCTAAATCAGCCCAGCAGGGGATTTCTGTGGTAGTCCAGTGGTTAAGAATCTGCCTTACAATGCAGGGGACATGGGTTCAATCCCTGGTTGGGAAACTAAGATTCCACATGCCACAGAGCAATTAACCGCACCTGCCACAACTAGAGAATCCATGCATCACTACGCAAGATCCCATGTGCCACAACTAATACCTGACACGGTCAAATTAATTAATCAGTTAAAAAATTAAATCAGCCCAGAAGCCCCAGGGGGCAGTAGTCATCATTTCATGTCAACTGGATGGTTCTCCTGACCTCTAGACATGTAACCGGGGCCTTGAAGGTTGCAATAAATGCCCCTTTGTGGCCCTCACCACTCACCCAAACCTTAAGAACTCAGAGCCAGAGGTGGAGGTGGATGGGGACCCACTGGTTAAAAGAGATCCCCTCTGATCCTGCTGTAAAGTCAGACACTTGAGATCTTTCCAAAATCTATCCTGTCAGGATCCCCTAGGATTCCTGCATCCATCCATCCATTCATCCATCCACTTTGCAAATGCTTATTGAGCACCTACTGGTTACCAGGCTCATTCTAAACCCTGGAGCTGGGGTGTGGGTTTCAGTGGTGTCTCACACCGATGATAGGTCTGCCTTGTGAAGCCTGAAGTCCACGGGGAAGACAGACGACCTGAACATGTGCCTACAGCCTTGTGGCAAGCACCATGGGAAGGACGAGCAGCAGTCCTTAGGGCAAGGGGCATCAGGTCGAGGCTAGGAGGCTCCTGAAAGCGATGTGTCAGCTGAGCCCTGAAGGCGGGGTGGGACCTAACCCAGAGGCGAGGACTCCAAGCGCAGGGGACAGCATGACTGGTAGGTGAAGTGGTGAGAAGGAAGAAAGTGAGAAGCCTGGAGACAAACTGATCAGAGAGAGCAGATGCTTCAGTGGCTCCACAAACGGCGGCTTCACCTCTGGAGGGCCTGATGGGGACCCTGGCTTGTAGTCTGTCTTTGAGGTCTCACCACCCTGCCCCACCTATATTCCCAAAAGAGTTTGATCTCCAGGCTCCAACAGACTTCAGTGCCAGCCCCGTCCCCCGCCTTGAGCAAGTCATTGCATCTCTTTGCACATCAGTTTCCTCATCTGTAAAGTGGGACAATAGCAATGCCTACTTCACAGGGGTGTGGTGAGGAAACAACTGCCTGAGCACCAATTTTTGGCACATCTAGAGGGTTCCATCCACAAAAACTGTAGTTCCGCCTGGTTGGTCACGGCCACAGTGCATAAGTGTCAAAGTTAAAACAGGCACGTGGAGATCATTGCACTTTTCTCTTTACTTTTGGGTATTTTTCAAATTCTTGTGACAGAATTTCATTTTTAAAATGACTGCTCCTATCATTTACTTCGACTACAGCTGGGACCCATGCTCCTTTGTGGAACACCCTTGTTGGCTGAAGCAATAACAAGACCAAACATGCCTCTAGAATTCCACATTTCCACCTGTCAACTTCATCCTCCCCAACATCCATCAGGTCCCTGGGAGAGACCTTGCCCCCACCCCAACCCATTCTGATTCCAGGATTTGGTTCCAGTGCCAACACTAGTCTTCAAAATCAGATGAGAGAAGGAAAGATTGAAATGTTACTTCTGTTTATGCTTAGTCTAAAAAAAGAGGGGGAAAATAAAGCATTACTAATACTTCAAAGTGGCTTCCCTAAAGTCTCAGTAGTAAAGAATCTGCCTGCCAATGCAAGAGGTACAGATTCGGTTCCTGGGTCAGGAAGACCCCTGGGAGAAAGAAATGGCAACCCACTCCAGTATTCTTGCCTGGGAAATCCCATGGATGGAGGAACCTAGTGGGCCTGTAGTCCGTGGGGGTCATAAAAGAGCTGAACCCAACTGAGCAACTAAGCAACAACAATACTTAAATTATGGGTGAAACTACGCACTCAAAGAATTAGAGTGCACAGACTCTCCTGGGACTCATGAAAGAACATATTTTTGCCCAAGATTTTGAAAAAATGGCAAGTTGAAGTGAAACACATGGATTAACCCTTGCTCTTTTCAGTTGCAGTGAGAGGAGACTTATCTCCAAACTTGGTTAGCCAGCCAGAATATACATACACTTGAATGTGGAGAGCCTTTAACGAACACAAACACAAAAAGAATTTTTAAAGTATGGCTTGACAGTGGTATACATAAATTATTCATAAGTCAAATACACATATTGGGGATGAGTGTTCAGAAAATGTTTGTCCGATAGGAATGCTTGGTCAGTGAAGTTTGAAGCAACAATATGACCTCTCCACGGTGTCATCATAACTCCATGCAGAGGGGGGCCTAGATGTTTCTTCTTGGATGCCCAAGAGAGCCATCTGCTCACACAGATAGGAGGAAGATGTAGCAGACAGAATAACTTCTATCTGAGTTTCCAGGGTCAAGTGTGTGTCTCAAGCTCTCAGCCAGTCCTGAAAATAATTAGCCACCTAGATGTGGACTTTGGGAATGAGAAAAGGACCTCTCAGCAATCAGGGACAGCCATGCTCACTTCAGCTAAATCTTCTCCACCAGCAAGGGGAAGAAGGGGAGCTATTAGAGGAGAAGGTGGTCGGTGACCCCTAAGGAGAAGGACGGTGGTGGGGTTGCTGGTGGAGACACACAGGTAAACACAAGCACCAGGACTGGGTGACCACATGGTCCTGCCACCAACACTGACCCCAAGACAGGAAGTTTGGCCAAACTGTTCAGGAGCCTGGGGTACTCTCTGGGGGCAGCCGGAGTCAAAGAATCAGGCTGGTTCGTCTCATCTGACCCTTTGGAGAATGCTGAGACTCCCAAAATCAGAGAAAGGAGTGAGAAACGTGTCCCACCCATGCGCTCTCCTCTCAAACACCTGGGAGCTCTGAGAGATGAACAGGCTCCATCTATGCAGTCAGGCAGTGGCACAGCCTGGAGATCTGAGTTCAAGTGCAGATTCAGTCTCTTACAAACTTTATGAACACAGGCAAGCCACTAGGTCTCTCTGAAATCTAATTTCTCCACCTCCCAAATGGACAGAGTAAAACCTATACTACTTCCAGGGAGAGGTCAAGGTGACAATCCCAACCTAAAAACAGAAAATGGACTCAAAGGCAATTAGGGACTTAAAATGATACTTTACAACTGATTGACAATAATTCTCAAACCAACTGGACACAAAAAAGAAAAGTGTCTGGGGCAGGTAATGTCTTTCATTTCACATGTACCCCAAGACTGATGGCACACAGTGGCAGAGGTCTCCCCATCCTTCCCACCAGGGAGAGGGAGACCGCCATGAAGATCATGGGATTGTAGACCCTGGGTCATGAGGGGCTGCCTGGAACCCAGAGAGCGTATAGATACAGGGAGAGATTGCTCCTGAGCTGGCAAGCTCTTGCCATCGGCCACATCTCCCGCCCGTTGCCTCATCAATCTATCATCCTCTTAGCAGCTGACACCTCTGGCAGCACCTCCCGGCAACCCGGGCATTAGAATTGCAAGAAGCCTGGCTGCACCGGGGAATACAGATGGAGGAATCTCAGATTCAGATTTGTCTAAGTATTGTGAACAACCAGACCCGGGCAAGGCGTTTCAACTGCCCTTCCACCAAAGGGAAGAGGTGGGGGTTTTGTTAGAAGTACAAATTGCTTCTTAATGCAGAGGATAAAGCCGGGCTCCGGCACCTCCTTAGAAATTCCTCTTGCTCCCAGGAAAGCCACCGCTGCATGTCAATTTTAATTTTTGAAATTTAAACCGAGGGCTTTGTGTCTAAGCTCCATCTCATCGGAGGAAGGGGAGGAATAAGTCAAAAAGGATTAGGGGCCCACTGGGGATTGCAGATCCATAGCAATTAGACTTCATTTGGGTCTCATATATTTGATTTTAATCGCATTTCTGGATGATACAATCGACAAGGCATCAGAAATTGATACGTACGCGACTGTAGACGGGATCGACTCTGCCCTCCCCTGTTCCTGGGCTCAGGTGGCTTCGGGTTCCACAGTCACTGGGGTGTGGTGGGGTGGGTGGGGAATTGCAGCTCATTTGGGCTGGAACTAGGAGGGTGATGGTTTGCATGTGGATATTGTTTTCCTGCTCGATATCTTTGAGCACTTTATGCCTAGACTTGAAGCAGATGCAGTCATTGCTAATATTCAAGTGAATGACAATAAAACATTATTCAAATAAAATAAAAGCATAAAAAGGAATAGCGACAGAGACAAGACTCAAGGCAGGGGGTATAATTGTCTTTTAAATCAGAATCACAAATTTCAGCATCTTCCAGGAACTAAAGTTGAGCACATTGCGATTTGGGAGCAGACACATAGCCACGAATATGTCACACACCACACTGACATGAGTCTATGAATATGTGTGTGTGTGTGCACCTGTGTAACACGGATTAGCGATGACAACCACATTATATCCGCATGGGGTGTGTGTGCATATCCAGTTCAACATAGGTAGCACACTCCAGGGTTTCCTCTGTGTACGTATTCACATTTCTCTGCAAACAACTGGTCAAAATAAGCTCTGTAAATACTAACAGGTTGCTAGCTAGCTATTTTGTAGATAACATACTGTTTATTGGAACTCAATAATCGAAAAATGGAACAAAAAAGTGAAAAAACAAAAACACCATGTGGAGTGTTTTCTTAACCTCTGTGTGTGTGTGTGTGCACGTGTGTGACAGTGAAGGGGAGGGAAGGACCAAACAAATGCAGTCAGGTTCAGAGCAGGTGCCCCACACCACCACACACACAGGAAGACCCCCCAAGGGGGGTGTCCCACCACGAAGGGGAGAGTCTATCTCATTTATCACACAGCTCTGGGTGAATTTAGGGAGCTGGATGGTCCATACAATTGCCTCAGTGCACCAGGCAGTTGACCTGGAGATTATGGACCCAGCTAGTGTAAGCTGATAGACATGTGCTGAGTGCATTACATGCCCGAGTGGGTGTGTTTCCTCAGGGATTTCTCTACTGCCTTTTAGGAGATCTCAGAGATCATCTGATGGCAAATATCTCCTTCACCCCTCTCATTTTGCAGAAATGCCTCCTCTTCCCTTTCCTTCTCCAGAAACTCCTGGCCTCTGACTGCCTCCCACAAGGCTAGGATCCTGAGAATCCAAACTCCGTCTCCTGTCACCCTCTAATTCTTCCTCCCGCCCTCCTCTGGTCCCCTCCAATTCAAGGCTGCAGCCCAGCCCAGCGGAGATGCACCCTAAAGGGTGAGAGGCTACCCTCCCATCTCCGCACATCTTTTCACCCACCCAGGCAGCACAGACAAGGCAGTGGTTGGCAACCAGGGTAGAGATGGAGCTATTCAGGGCCCAGTTCCGGTCTTTATGTCAAGGTGAACATCTGGAGGCCCGGTCCCGGGACCAGGCTGACAGAGACATCAAGAGTCCATAGTCTAGAAACATAATTTAATGCATCGCGGTAGGTCTGAGGCGGGAGTGCGGTGTAGAGATGGATTTTCTGATTGCTGGGATTCTGCTGAGGGTGGGATTTCAGCTGATGGACAGGGACATTTGCACAAGTATTTCAGGTCACAAAGAAGGACACCCCAGGGAGCTCGTGCTCGCTTTGGCCTACCTCGGTGGCCAGAGCTGGGAGCCCTCAGTCTCAGGGCTCTCGGAGGAGGAGGGGGACTGGAAGCGCTCAGGCATCCCGCCGGGGCCTGTCCAGTCCAATCAGCTCTGCAAAGTCTGCGCTGCCGCCTCCCTGGCTGGGGTTTCAGTTTCACGCTCATTTCTCCACTTGGGCGTCCTGCTCCCCCGCCCCGGGTTGGGGCCGGGGACCAGGAGCACAGCCGGGAGCTTGGCGAGTCACAGACGCACGGAGGTCGGAAGCGGGGCAGGAAGGACAGCGGGGGTGTGTCTTTTCCAACGATGTCAGCAAGTGTCACGAAGCGACAGTGGTCCTCGCCAGGGAACAGAGCGCCCCCACGGGCATAGGGCGGCCTGAAGCCACCCCACCTCGCGCTCCCTGCCCCTCTAATCCGGGTACAGAAGAAAGCCAGAGAAGGTGCTGTACTTGTTGTTATTGCCTCCGTGCGCCTTTCCGCCGTCCAGCTTCACATACACCTCGTCCCCCGAATCAAGGTGTAGCACCACGCTGTTACTGGCGTAGTCGTAGTTCTGGTCGGCATCCTGCGCGATGGCGCTGGCCCGGACCTAGGGGCGAGCCGTCAGAGCTGGTCGGCCCGGATACCTCGGCCGTGGCCCTTGCCCGACCCTCCACGTGGCGTACCCCATGGCCGGCCTTCCGCCTGCCGCTCCAGGGTCCACGCTCCCACCCAGGCTCCATGCTCTCTCTCCACCTTAGCCAACTCCTTCCCGGCACCCCAGTCTCCACAGTCGCCAAATCCGGGAAGAAGGGAGGCAGAGGGCTTCGGGGACGCTGACCCAGTGGGGAAGAGCGGGAACCAGGGGCCAGGGCCAAGAAGAAGGAAGACGGGAGGGCAGAGGGGGGAAAGGGGCGCACAGAATGAGGTTTCCGTGAACCCCACGGGGCTTCAGGCGGCTATGTAAATAGCAGGGGAGCGCGATTTGGGTAGTGGGGAACCCAACCTCTGGAGCTACCGGATAAAGTGCGACCAGGACGCACTGGGAGACGCGATGCTGCGCGGTGCGCTCCCTCCCAATGGGGAGAAGAAGCTGAGCTCCCAGGAGGTTTGGGGCGCTGGGTGGGAACGAGGGTCCGCGGGGACTTGCGCGGGTGGAGGGGAAGCGGGGGTGTCACTGACCTGCCCGTTCTTGCAGAGGTCCGCCCACATGCTGGTGCCGTCGCCGCCGCGCATGAGGATGTGGTAGGTGAAGAAGTAGATGCCACGCACCTGGCAGCTGAACTTGCCCGTAGCAGGGTCGTAGTGATTGCCGAGATTGGTGACCACGTCGTCGAATTTGAGCACCTCGTAGCCTTCGTGGGGGCTCTTAAGACCCACATAGAAGGCGATCTTGGGACCGCTGAAGGCGGCGCTCAGCGCGCCAGTCACTTCGCCCTCAGAGTCACCGCCGCCCCCGGTTCCGCCACCCACCACCCCGACACCTCCGGCCGCGCCCGCCGTCAGCTGCAGGCCAGGCAGCCCGGGCCGCCCCGAGTCGCCCTTCTCCCCCGGGGGACCCCGGGGTCCAGGTGGGCCCGGCTCTCCCGGGGGTCCCCGCGGTCCCGGCTTGCCAGGTCGCCCCGGGTCGCCCTTGGGTCCCTGGATGAAAGGGGGCGGAGGGTTGACGCTCAAGTCCTGCATGACTTCCAGCGCCGCCGTGCTGGGTCCCGGCGGCGGAGCCTTGGCTCCCGCCGGCCCCCCGCCCGGGGCGGCGGTGTAGGGGTCGCAGATCATGCGGCAGGTGCCCATCATCTCGTAGTGCGCCGCGCCGGGGGGCGCCGCCTGCAGCAGCAACGGCACGGCGATAAGCAGCCCCAGCGCCATGGCCAGGAGCACGCCGACGGCCGCCAGGCAGGCGCGGCGCCGCCGCTGCCACAGCCGGGAGGCAGCCGCCACCAGCTCCTCCTTGCCTCCCGGGGAGGTAATGGTCGGGCGGCGCAGGCGGCCCCGCTCCCCGCGCTCGGGGGCGGACTCCGCGGGTCCCGGTCGCGCCCCCGACGTGGCGACCCCCTCCTCTGGGCGCGCAACTACTTCAGCGAGAGGCACCCCGGCCCAGGCTCCGGTGCCCACCGCGCTGGGACTGCTCAGGAGAGCCGCGGAGCCCAGCGCGCATGGCGGGGGGGCGCACAGGACGAGCCCGGCGCCCCGCGGCTCCCGGCGGCTGCGGCCGGGGAGCACCGGGTGGGAAGGCGGCGTCCCGCGAGGGCTCGGCCGCGCTGCCTCCTGCCCGACTCGGCTGGACTCAGCAGGGCTCAGCGCGCAGGGAGGGCGCTCGGGCTCCGCGGCGCGCTCTGCTCTGCTCTCCCGCTGCTAGCTGGCTGCCGCGCGGAGGGGGTACCCAGCTACCCTGACGTAAGGAGTCCGGGGCTGAGCGGCGGAGGCGGCGAGGAAGCAGCGCGCGCTGCCATCACTTGGGAGACGGCGCCCTCATGTCATCAGCCTTCCGTCCTCCTCCTATCGGGCGGCGTCCCCGGCAGAGGCGGCAAAGGCGCGGTTCCTCCTGGCGGCGCCTGGGAGCCACAAGTGGGCGCCGCGGGCGCAGCCCGGGCCCAGCTCCTCAGGCACACCCACCAGCGGCCGCACTTACGCGCCTCCCACCCGCCACACACTTACGGGCGCACACAGGCACGTCCACAGGGCCACGAAGGCGCCCGGAATCCCGATGCCAGCAAGGTCCTTCCGGGATCACCTAATCCACCCGCTGCCTGCAAGCAGGACTAGATTTAAACTCCCCTAGTCAAGGAGAACCTCAGTCCCTTAAGCCCAGGAGAGAACTTTCTGAAAGCTCTTCGGAGTTACGTCTTCAGAATGGAATAAATCTCACTTCAGGGTCTTCGCACACCTAACCGGAGGACTCCAAGCTGCCAAAGAGGTGCCGGAAAACCAGCCCACCAGCTCTTTGAATGACTCTGAAAAGCCGAAAGCCCCCACTACAAGCGTCTACTAGCGAGACTTCCCTGGGAGCCCAGGCGGTAGGACTCGGCGCTGCCACCGCAGGGGGCGTGGTTTCAATCTCTGATCTGGGAACTGCGATCCTGCCTGCTGCCTGCCAGGTGGCCGAAAGAAAACAAGAATAGACTGCTCTCAGCTCTTTTCTTCCACCCAAAGAATGGCAGGCCATTGCCCTCTGTATAAAGTTCACTTAAATCCAGATCCCTGGCACCCAGCCCTTGGTGATAACCTTGCTGCACTCAGCTTCATTCCTATCACGACACCGCCAGGCAGATCCACGGACAGATTCCTCTGGACATTCCCAGTTTCTGGTCCTACTAACCTGGGTCGAGTTATTTAAAAAACAAACAAACCAGTCCAAAGCCATTCTGAGCCAAAGCTGTGACACCTAATTAGAGAAGAATTGGGAAGACCTCCAGTTCAGAAATCAAAAGTTCTGTTTTCTGGTTCTGCTCTTGCCCTGCATATGACTTTGGCAGATTGTTTCCTGCTCCAAGTCTTGGTTTTCCTAAAAGGCAGTCTTCCTGACAGGGGAATTCACCAGGGGGGAATGCCTGGGAGGAGAGTCAGTGGCTGATGTCAGTGTTTGGCAGAGCCTCTGTCTCTGGAACAACCATACCCCTTCCTGAGGCTACTGCTTTTGAGGAGAACATTTCTTTATCAGGTATTGCGTTGCCGTGGGTTACTTAAAAATTCATTTTGTTTCTTTCTGGTTACTCTGGGTCATTCCCCCTCTCCACTTCACATAGGTCCAGCCTCTTCCTTCATTGGTGTCTCTCCCAGGGCATAGCAGAAAATCTGGCACCTGGGATACCCTCACTACAGATTTGTGGGAAAGGTGACTGAACCTAGGTTAAGGCAAACTTGACCCAGGTGAGAAGAGGGAGACGGGGCTCGTTTACTGAGCAGCTACTGTGATGTATCAGGCACTTGCATGGGCTGCTTTACTGACTCCTCCCAGCGGGCCTGCAGATCAGCAGTCAGTCTCCATTGTTCAAACGAGAAGACAAGGGTTTAAAAGTGTGAAGTGCTTGCCCAGTCCTCCACTCAGACGATGGAGCTGGACTCCTCCTCCCCCCTGGATCAGGGGCTCTAAGAACCTGGCAGTGAACACAGCACCGGCCATTAGCTCCTGGCCCTGTTCTTTACTGGTTGGCTGGGTCCTGGGAGTCCTCCGTTCCCTTCCCTGAGGCCACCTCTAGAACTGACGAGCCACAGTGATTCCAGGAGCGACACTGCCTGGTTCCATTCTTGGCTCCGCAGCTTCTTGTCTTGTGTGACCTTGGGCAATTGCTTCACTTCCCTGAGCCTCAGTCCCCGTGTGTGTAGAATGGGACCGACAGGTGTCCCTTTCACGTTATTGAGAGATTTGTTTTTGTTAGCAGCTAAATCAGTCTGACTTTTGCCACCCCATGAACTGCGTGGTCAATGCTGGAGCAACTGTGTCCAAATGTTCCCTGTGATTAGCATAGTGCTCACTACCTGTTCAGCCTCTGTGTTTCCTGTTGTTGTTTAGCTGCTAACTCCTGTCCTACTCTTTTGCAAGCCCATGGACTGTAGCCCATCAGGCTCCTCTGTCCATGCGATTTCCCAGGCAAGAGTACTGGAGTGGTTTGCCATTTCCTTCTCCAGGGAATCTTCCCAATTCAGGAATCAAACCCATATCTCCTGCACTGAGATTAAATGAGTTAATTAATACAAAGGCCTTAGAACAATAGCTGGATCAGCAGTAAATGTTCACAATTACTATTAACTAATAATACTTTGGACCTCCACCATCACACTTTAGACTACCTCTCAAGTGAAATATGCAGGCAGGAAGCCCATGTACAGTGGGGAAAGTGGATTTATTTCAAAAACAGGGAGGCCCTGAGATCATCCACACATCCTATCCTTCTGGGAAGCACAGGAGGACCACACCGTCTGTTCCACATTCCCCTGAGACTGCCCTGCTCTGGCTTCCTGCCCTCAATCAAGACTGCCCAGCGTTCTGTCACTGGCTCCACCTGGCCAAACGTTTTCGAGGTGTACATTCAGTTTGAGATCCTCAGCCCTGCAGACCACCATCTCCCAGTTCTAGTGCTTTTGCCCCTGCAGGATCTGGTCAGGGAAGAAGGAAGGAGGAGCAAATATTGGCTACTCAGACTTTTGCTTTCGCAGACCTCAGACAAAGCAACCTTTCCAGGGGATCAGCATTCCTGGGAGCAACTGTAGACTTGCAGGGATGAGGGCCATTTCCCAAGGCCAGACCTCGCCCAAGGGCAGGGAAAGCAGCAGCTAGAGCAGGCGGAGAGCTGGCAGCCTCCTCCCCAGCAGCCGCATGAGTCATGGTGAGGTCCTTCCCCTGCCCTCCCGCCCTCCCTTCTATGTGGCAGAGTTAGACAGAGTAGCCTGCTACAGTGCTAGACGCACCTTCTCATCTCTCGGCCTTTGCTCCCTCTGGAGGGACCAACGTCATCATCAGTGACCGTCTTCTCATTAATATTAATTATGACCTTTATTAGCATAATGCTTTCCGTTTAGACTATAGTTTTACATTTCAAGGCTCAGTAATGGCTCGAATCTGCCCCAAATTGCCCTTAATAATCCAGCCTGCTTTCCTTTCCCCAATATCCACTGACAGTCTACTATGTGCCAACCAACCACCTCCACCTTCTCACATCCCAGAGCCCTAGCGGTCATGACACTTGATCACACGCTGTCTTATCTGCTACTTTAATGATGCTCGGCCAGCAGTGAACCCCTCTTCATTCATCAGCACTGCAGTGTCTTCAGCCCGGCATGACTGTCCCCTCTCATCTGCCCTCCCTGATTATCCTTCAACTCCCAGTGAAATCCCTTGTCCAAAGTCTTCCCTAACCTCTTCCCAGGCAGAATTGATAATTCTTGCCTGTAAACCCTTAAATTATCTTGAATATACCTACCCCGGCCATCATGTTTCATACAAATATTTTTTTACTTGTTAGCCTCCCCAAACAGGGTGTGAGCTCCAGTAGGGCAGAAAATCACACCATTTATTCATTAATGCATGTCATTCATTTGTCCCACAAATATTTACTGACTCCTATTGTATGCCAGGCACTGTGTTACATGCTGAGTGTGCAGAGAACAATGCAGGTGTGGTCCTTTCCACTCCTGCTCTCCTGCAAGGTTTCCCTAACCCCCTCCACCTCTATCTACTTGTGTTTATTTGAGTTTGCATCTAAACAGCCGCTATTTGGCACAGCTGTGTGTTGGCATGCTTTATTTGCTTTCTTTAAATTAGACTTGTGAGCCAGTTGGACCACAAGCTCATCTTGAATACACTGGCCAAACTTTTGCCTCTGTCCCCAATGGGAAGAGCATCATGATCTGAATTCAGAGAGGTAGTCTGGGGTCACATCACACAAAGTCTTAAAGATGGGAGACACTTGAGCATGTTTATTTGCTTGTGAAAATGGTACAGTATGAAAGGAGAAACCAACAATCAAGAGAAAGCTGAGATAATCCAACACCTGAAGTTCTTAGTAATTGATCCATGACAGATATTCCATAAAAATTTTATATCTTTAGCAGTAATAATATGGGTAATATTTATTGAGCACTAACCATGCCCAGGTACTCTGCCAAGAATTTTAGGTATATTAATTCTTGTAATGTTCTGTGAGATGTGTGTCCCTGTTTTATAGCTGAGGAAACACAGGGCGGTGGTAAATATATATATTGACAAGATATCATTTTTGTATGTAGTTTTTCTAGTAGTTGACCCAGGTCATGTTGGGATTCCAGATGTGTATCTCTAGATCTGAAGTGCCAACCACTAGGTCACTGGCTGAAGAATTCATGAGCATTTACTTTTGCTGCTGCTAAGTCACTTCAGTCGTGTCCAACTC